CTCTCTCCCCCCCTTTTTTTTTTGCATGAGAAGTAACCCATATGTAGAGCTTCTATTGATTCTTCTTTTCTTTACTCCCCTCCACACACACACACACGCACACACACAAAGATCGTGGGTTTTAATGCAAACAACAAGCCGGTGGGGGTGGGGGTGGGGGGGGGGGGGGGGGGGTGTGGTGGAGATGGGGGTGGAAGAGAGAGAGAGTTGGGGTGACAGACCCAGAAGGAATGAACACTTAAGTAACAAAGAAGGGTATTAAATACAGGAAAAAGTTAGCTTTTTAAGCTTAAAAATAAAGGGGGGTGGGGGGGGGGGGGGGGGGGGGGGGGTTAATCCACACACAAGGCGCATGTTTGCGTGTGTATGTGTCCTGTGTGTGTGTGTGTGTGTGAGTGTGTGTGTGTTTGTATGTGTGTTTTTTTGTCCGCCTAAAACGTGCAAACTTTCCCCAAAATACTTCGCCTCTCCTGCGAGTCCCTATGAATCAACCTATTTATTGTGTGTGTGTGTGTGTGAGTTTAAAGTGTTTCTGCAATCGTTCTGCTAACCGACAGATTCGTTTCACGTTATATATATATATATATATATATTATATACATATATACACACACATACATATAAAGAAAGGTTAAGATTATAGGGAAGGATTGGAAACCTTTTTTTTTGCACAGCAATTGTCTCAATCGTCATCATTTAACAAAAAAACCTCGCAAGCAAGTGAAGATATTATTATTATTATTATTATTATTATAAGGTAGCGACACTGCAAGCTGTCAAACATGGGCAGACCAAATTGTTTGGGAGTAAAAACATAGATTTCGAGCCATTAAAGCCATACAGTTCTGTGTGTGTGTGTTCTTTTTCTCGGATTTATTGGAATAACAAGGCCGACAGCCCTTTGACAGATGAACAGAGGCTGATAAAACATACTTAAAATAACGTGTACTAATTCGACTGTATAATGTTTATTGAAAGTTCTCCCCCACCCCCCACTTAAACTCACAGAGTTCAAACACCGCCCAGCAATTAAGTTGACTGAGTAGCTGAGGTGTTAATTAAAAGTAGGACAGCAAAGGAGGGCGAGAGGCGTTTAAAATTATGTAATCACCATAAAAAGGCACAGGATGTTTGACTTGTCTCCATTTCGGTATTCCGCAACTCCACTGGAAGTTACTTTGAAGACTGGAAGTGTGTTTCGGTTAGTGTGTGAGTGTGGGGAGATTTGCGAGAACAGTCTGCGGCTCAGTCGGTAGCACTCTCACCCCTGAGTCAGAAGGTTGTAGGTTCAAGCCCCATGTCTAGACTTGAACTCATATGCTTGTAGTCTAAGGTGACACTCCAATGCACTGCTGGGGTGGGGTGGGGTGGGGGGGGGAGTCGCATTGTTGTGACAACCTTCGTATGAGACGTCATAACATAATAATGTTTGCATTTCATACAGCTAACGCCTTATCGCGTTGTCAAGACGTCTCAAAGCCGCTCACAGGACGTAGCGTAAAGTTGGATTGACTATGGGTTGTTTGGGCCAAATCTTAGACCCCGAGGTCCCATCTGTCCCGTTCAGGTGAATGGTTAAGATCCCATGACACTATTGGAAAAAGAGAAGGGAGTTTTTTTTTCTCTCTCTCAGGGTCCCGGCCAACCATTCCCCCAAATAAAAATTGGGTCACCGACTCCGCGGCTGTTTGCGGGTCAGTGCTGTGCTCGAGTTGCCTACTGCCGTGGCCCACAACATTACACAGTCACTACACTTCACAGTAAATCCCGTGAGACGCTTTGGGATAGTCCTCCCCACCCCCAGCGTGAAAGGCGCCTGTACCAAATGCAAAGATTATTATTTCTAGCCCTACTCAGGCACAGTCACTACACTTTACAGGGAATTCGATGGAATGCTCTGGATCAAATGCAAGACTTATTAATATGACCCCCCCCCCCCCCCCCACACACACACACACACACACTTCCAATCATAGTCTTTGGCCGCCTGTCTATAGAGACTAGACATCACCCCCCCCCACCCCCACACCCCACTCCCCCCTCCCCCCATCCCATTGGCTCCACAGCAAAATGATCTCAAAAAGGCTTAAAATAAGATGACACAAACTAGTTTGACGCTGAAATTGCGCTGTTATTTATTGTCTCGGGTTTTAACAGCAAACCCCACCCCCCACCCCAGCCCAGGATGCATCCCCCACCCCCACCCCCCCCCCCTTCCCCCGTTTCCATCGACACTTAACCCAAGGCGCAATTCTCCATCCTATTTTCCAAAAAAAATCAGTACTTTTAACGAAAACATCGCATTTGCAAATATCTCTTGCCCTCCTCCCCTCTCCCTCTCTTAACCCCCCCCTCAAATGATTGATCTATTGATCTAGCAAGACAACCACTAAACATCTAATGTGCCCCCCCCCCCCCCCACACACACACACAACACACGAGAGAGCGAAGGTGATAAAAATGAACCGTTCAAACTCGTTCCTAAAGTCTTTGACTGTTTTTTTTCAGGGGACAGGACTTCAAAGCCTAAAACGCATTTGCAAACCAGATGATGATTTTTTTGGGGGGGTGTGGGTGGGGGGGGGGGGGGGGTGGGGTGTGGGGAGGGGGTGCGTGGAAGGAAAATAGACCGATGCAGGTTATTTTATGAACTCACCCTCACGTTGGTATTCTGCTGGAAATGTCATGTCCCTCTGCTGTTTGTTGTCCATTTTTCACTGTGATTGGATCCGGAACCCAAACCGCTTGTCATTCAATCTGATTCAAAGGTAAAGTCACGAGATGGGACTTTCTTCTGGTTTTTTTTTTCTTTCGCAAAACGATTTGCAAAGACCTTTCATTGCTTACCCTGCTGGAGAAATCAGTCCTTTCCTCGCAGATGACTAAACAGACGCCCGGGGGTGGGATTGGGGAGGGTTGGGGAGGGTTGGGGAGACAGAGAAATAGACAGAGAGAGAGAGAGAGAGAGGTTGTCTTCAATAGAAAACGACAGTGGTTTAATTTCAACTCTTAGTAGCAATCGCACCAAAAATAGACTACTACAGTGTGTGCAATAAGCACTTAACAAAGGGATTTAAACCCCCAAAGGCCTTATGGTTGGAAACATCATTTTTTCTTGACTCCAAACCGAACACCCCCTCTCTTCTTCCCTCTATTTCTCACCCCCCCCCCCCCCACACACACACCCCTCTCCCTTTCTCTCTCCTCGCCTGCAAAGCTTCATGTCACAAAATAGCAATGGGGTGAGTAGTCTGGGTGGGAGAAATATTGCAAAGATCCCGAAGCAAATACATAATGCTTAAAGAAAATGGATAAGAAAAAAAAGTGTGAGGGGAAAGGAGAAGGGTGGTGGTGGTGGTGGGGGGTGGGGGGTGAAATACAACTATACAGTACCTAAAACTAAAACAAAACTGACTATTCTTTATAGTCGAGTCGATCTAATGCAAACGGGGGGTTGAGGGATGGTTAGAGAGAGACAGAAAGAGAAAGAGAGAGGGAGAGAGTAGATGGTGCAATAAATGAATACAACTGTACAGTACCTAAAACTCAAAAAAAAATGGTTATTCCCTCTAGTCGAGTCGAGGCAATGCAAACGAGAGGGGAGGGTAGAGTAGGGCGGGTGGGTGGGTGGTGGTGGGGGGGTAGGGGTAGAGAGAGAAGGGGGGGGGTGTGGGTGTTAGAGAGAGGAAGAGAGAGGGAGAGAGAGAGAGAGAGAGCATGTGTGTGTATGTATGTGTGTGTGTGAGAGAGAGAGAGTGGAGATGGTGTAATAAATTAATGGTTACCATGGAGTTGTGTTGGCTGATTGGACGGGGAGAGGCAGTGACGTGCCAGAGATGTGAATAAGGTGTGAGCCAGACTGGGGGGGGGGGGGAGACATACAGTCAGACTGAAAGCCTGAAAAGCGGCTGTGGTGGTGGTGGTGGTGGTAGTAGTGGTGGTGGTGGTGGTGTTTGTTGGTGGCTATACCGAGCACTGAACCTGGGCAACAGCAACAGCAACAACACCAGCATCAGCAGCAACAGCAACAGCAAGGAGTTGATTGTCATGTTGGTCCACATTACTATAGCTGGACAGTAAACACCAACTCGGGACATTTCTCTTCCAGATTCAAGAGGACCAAAAGAATCGAACCATGAGATCCAAACCTCTGCTGGCCACAGGCTTGTCACCTACCTTTTATTGCTGGAGTGTTTAATTCCTTCTTTTTTTTTTTCCTTCCACATTCTCCACCCTCTCCACCCCAACCCCATCTCTTTCTTTCTTTCTTTCTTTCTCTCTTCTCTCTCTTCTCTCTCTCTCTCTCTCGTCTCCTTTATATCTCTTTTTGAGTGATGTCAGCCAATGCAATAGCATTTGCAGAAAGGGAAAGAGATAACGACTGCTCACAGGTCCACAAAGCGATCCTGTGACATGAATTAAAAGTTAACAACGTTGTTTTGGGGGGCTTTTTTTTTGGGGGGGGGTTGTTTTTTTCCGGGTAGGGGGGAGGGTGGGTGGTGGTGGTGGTGGGTGGTGGAGGAAGGAGAGAGGGGTCTTTTAAAAAAAATCATGCAGGAGTGAGTAAAACAATTTACTCCACAACTGTTTGGAGAGTGACAGCTCTGTGTAGATTATTTTTCGAAGTGTACAGCAATTTTTTTTTTGGGGGGGGGGGACAAGGGAAACGAGGGTGGGGGGGTGGGGTGGGGTGGGTGGGGGGGGAGGTTTTTTTATATAACAGGAACACAATTCTAATTTCGTTCAGAAAAAGAAAGGTTATCGATTCAAGACTCCTGCGTCTCTGTACCGGTCCTGTTGATTTTTATTTTTATTTTTCATTTTCGCTCTCTCTTTTTTTTTTATCTTCTACCTCAAAAAAAAAAGAAACGAAAAGAAAGAAAGGAGAGAAAAAAAAGGAAGGAAAGAAAGAAAGAAAGGCTAGTCACTTCATCCGTTGGTTCTGTTGTCCCTTTTTGTTGCTTTCATATCTATCTTTCTCTCTCTCTCTCTATATATATATATACATAAATACATGTATATCTATATCTATTAAAAAAAGAAGCCATTCTTCGGATCAGACCAGACCAGATCAGATCAGACCAGACCCGGACTATTGAGGAGACCTGTTATATTTTTTTCCAGCCAAATATCTCAAACCGTCAGCTATCTCAGTTACCTGGTGGACAACCCAAAGACAATAATGGTTCACTGTGCGGGGTGCGAGAGGCCTATTCTCGACAGATTCCTTCTCAACGTCTTGGACTTAGCTTGGCATGTCAAGTGTGTTCAATGCTGTGAATGTAAATGCAACCTCACCGAGAAGTGTTTTTCGCGAGAAGGGAAACTCTACTGTAAAAGCGACTTCTTTCGGTGAGTATCTTTCCCCCTTCCTTCCCCCCTCTCTCTCTCTCTCTCTCTCTCTCTCTCTCTCTCTCCTCTGAGCCTCTCCTCTTTATTCGCGAGAAAGGGGCTTTAAAATTATCCTTAAAGCAACGTCAATTTCCCGTCTTTTATCTTTTCAGACACCACTTTTGCAAAGATATCGCGCGTGTGTGTGTGTGTGTGTGAAAAAAGAAGTGTAAAAGGTAGAGAGGGGCGATGTAAAAGAAAGAGAGAAAGAGAGAGAGAGAGAGAGAGAGAGGGGGTTTATTCAGCCTTTTAAAAAGCGGTGTTCGTTTCACCCATTGATATCGAGGGAGAGATTTAATTTTAGCTATCGATGGGAGTGTGGGAGAGGAGGGAATTTTTTTCTTTAAACCTCACTTTTTCGAAGATAGGGCTTTCATACAGAGAGAGAGAGAGAGAGAGAGAGAGAATCTTACTTCCTGGCTAACTTGAAAGCCAACATAAAAACACGTTCGTTACCTTAACTTGTAATAATAATAATAATATTAACTTGTACCAATCAAAGAGAAAGAGAGAGAGAGAGATTGAGAGAAATACTAGATTCGGATGAATTAGTCTACCCCCCCCTTCAATATCTACCATCGTTTAAAAAGCATTTGAATTCGAATTAAACACTTGAATTGGGTGGACCTGAAACGAAAAAAAAACGTTCCCGATTTGTTTTGTGTATCGATAAATATACATATATATCGTTCAGTCTCGGTTTAGCGACTTGGTTGATCGAATGGTGTAAAATGTGTATTCCAGTTGGAGAAAAAACACGATTGAGGTGTGTGTGGGTGTGTGTGTGTGTGTGTGTGTGTGTGGAGGGGTGGGGGGCTAAGGGGTGGAGGGTGTAATAGCACATTTCTTTTTCGGAGGCAATTGAAAAGCAAAGGGGGTCAATAACGGCGGATCTTAAGAGGGAAATCCACTGGGTCTGTCTGTCTCGCCCCGTGTGTTTTGTGTTGTTTAGACTGTAAACTAACGACGTGATAAGTGGTTTTGAATAACAAAGTGTTTGAAGAGGAAACCCGAGACAAAAGGAAACACAGACAAACCCAACAAGACTTGCCCCAACACACTTGCACTTTGGGCCCTCCTCTTATTCCCCTACCTCTACCAACCCCCCCGTCCACCCCCCCACCCCTCCCCCTCACCCACACACACACACATCCAGAAACAACCCCCACTCTCAGACCTCCTGAGTAACCGTAGATCTGTTGCTAAAATACCATTCGACATTACAATGCATTTATTTCATGTTATATTTAAAGCAATGCTCCTTCCCCCCACCACCCCCCCCCCCACCCCCACCACCACCACTACTCTCTCTCTCTCTCTCTCACACACACATTCTCTCTTCCCCAACCCCCTTGATTTTTTTTCTGCTTCCCAAACAAATGAACCCGAGCTAACTTTCTTTATTTCGTTGGGAACCGACCGTGCAAACTCCACTCTTCTTTCCAAAGCAAATGAGATAGAACATTTTTTCCCCCCCACTTCTTGGCAAATGAATATCGTGAGATATAACAAAAAACAGTGTAATAGTTTGGGACATGACATGTGCTGACAGACTGACTGACCGACTGCCAGGAATGGTGGAAGGCGGACTGGGCTTGACCTTGGTTCTTCTTTCGTCCAGCAATACTCTCGTGTCCTTAAGACGCGTTGAAATGGACTCAAAAGTTCTTTTAAAGTTGATATCCATCTACCAACCCCCACCTCTCCCCTCGACGACCGCACCCCTCACCCCCAACCACACACACACAAAAAAAAAACCCATACAAAATCCCCTTTTTCGGTATTGCCTTAAAAAAAAGCGTGTGGACACCCAGTCAAATAGTATGGGTTGACTATTTATTGCTGGTCAATAGGAACCCATGTCTTCAGCCGACGTCTCTCTCTCTATCACTCTCTCTCTCTCACTCTCACTCTCTCTCACTCTCTCTCACTCTCACTCTCTCACACTCTCTCTCACACTCTCTCACACTCTCTCACACTCTCGTTGTGAGTAAGGAGGTGAAAGTCAAGTTTGCCCATCGTTCTGTACTGAACTGTCTGTACTGAAATCTCCTGCCCCCCCCCATCCCCCTGCCCCCCACCCCCCCACCCCCTGGATCATTACCTCGTCATCGCTTCAATCTGATCTCCTGTTACCTGCACTTGACCTAATCCCAACAGTTTTTTTTTAATGCCTATTTTTTTTCATTCTATTTTGCTATTCGATTTTTCATTACTCTTCCCCCGCCAGTGATATTTTATTTGACCCCAATTCTAGTAGATTTGGGTTTGTTGTTTTTTTTTTGGGGGGGGGGAATTAACTAAAATCCTTCTTGTTAATATTTCCACACCCACCACACTTTGTTTTTACTCTCGTTATATTGGCAGTGGCGGAAAAGATTTAACAACTTCAACAAAGTCGAACTGTCTGTCTGTCGCTCTGTTTGAGGTTCTGTTAAATTGCACCTTTTTAATGTAAAGACGGATAGTAAATTCAGACGCACTGTCCAGTACACACACATATATATATATATATATCTTTATATTATATTATATATCTGTTAACATGAAAACTCAGACTTTTACGCCGGGCAGTACGCAAAATAAGTGCACTTTTGCCGACTTTCTTTACCAAGAAAATCTTTGATTAATCAGCTTTTTGGAGAGAACAGAACCGCAATTAGAGACCGTGTAACCGTTGTTATTTTTTTTACTTACTAACCCTGGAAATTACAAGTCTGCTGTTGGCCTATAGATTGGGTGAGAATGATTTTTTTGTTTCTATGTCGATTGACATATAGAGAGGATATACAGACGGTTGCGGTAAATATCTAACAACTTCATCAAATATATATATATATATACTTATAGAGACACCCATTTCTATGTCGATTGTCACACATGTTATGTATAATATATCTAAAATATATATTAATATAACATATACACGTTAAAGGGCAAAAAGGGTTGTCATGTGAATCGGTCATGAAAGTTAACGAGTGAAGCTAATTTGGGGTTGGGAACCCCAATATTAGTAGAACTATCACTCTGGATTGCTGTTATAAATCCGAGCCCCCTCCTCCCTCCCTCCCTCCCCACACACCCCTTGCCCCCCACCCCTCCCTCCCCCAATAGTCTGGTGCTTTTCGACATTATCCTCCCATAGATTTCTCATCAATGATTTTCAGTCGTGTTTGTATAAGTAAAAACTGGGTGATTAATCTCTTACACAGTGGCCGCTTACAGTAATCGCTATTTCACGCGCTTTTCAGGCGTTGGGTATAAATAAATACACGGATCCTCCATAGCGTTGTCTGTGTGTGTGTGTGTGTGGGGGGGGGTGGGGGTGTGGAGGTTAGGTGGGTGGGGGGTTATATGTTAAACCTTCTTGGGCGCTTTCGAGAGGCACTTCACGGTGCAGTGTTGGTGAAATCTGAAACGTTTCAATCCGTTCAGTGGGAATATAAATTTTTTTTTTTTAAAAAAAATTGCCTTTACGGTGTTTTGCTCCGGGAGGGGGTTTGGATCTGTGAATAAATAAGTCAAGCGTTCCATTTTGTTCTGTGTAGAACCATGTAATGGTTTCTTGATAGTATACATAATATAATAATACCTGTGTGTATGATACACACACACAAGCGCACACACACATATATATATTATATATGTATTGTATATTTTGTTGTTCTCTTTTTTTTTTTCCAGGCGTTTTGGTACAAAGTGTGCTGGCTGCTACCAAGGCATCTCGCCCAGTGACCTCGTCAGAAGAGCGAGGAGTAAAGTATTTCACCTGAACTGTTTTACCTGTATGATCTGCAACAAACAGCTTTCCACGGGCGAGGAGCTCTACATCATAGACGAGAACAAATTCGTTTGCAAGGACGATTTTCTAAGCAGCAATAATAACACGAAAGAAAACGGCACTCTCTCAAGTAAGCCCTCTCCCCCCCCCAAAAAAAAAAACAGCCACACATTTAGTGTTAAAGTAACCTGGTTAGTGCAGGAGCTCAAACCGCTTAGCTTCGATTCCAGAGCTGTTTATTATTATTATTTTTATTATTATTATTATTATGAGTGTGTGTGTGTGTTTCTGTGTGTATATATTAATGATAATAATAATTGATGCCAATCTCTCATCGACGCTCAAATATCCTTATCGCTAAAACTGTGTTTCACGAGTATATATATGAGTTATTACGATGAATAATATTATTATTAATAACAATAATAATAATAATAATCCTGGCATTCGATACAGCGCCTTTTCACGTCGTTGAGACGTCTCAAAAATCGCTCCACACGATCAAGTGGATCGACTGCGTATTTTTGTGTGGGGGGGGGGGGGAGACGTCGCACTGTTGGATTAAAACACACACACACTCACACACGCACTGATTTCCTTTCCCCTCTCGACGATCAAACCCTTGAATTTTTTTCGGTGAATGTGTATTTTAAAAGAGGCAAAAGAGAAACGAGATCATTGATAATAATAAGAATTGATAATAATTGAGACAAACCCCCCTCTCTCCCTCTGCATCACTACCCCCCCCCCCCCCCCCCCCACACCACCACCTCCCGGTTAATATTTTCTTGCGCTGCGAAATTAACTCTAAACCATTGGTAAAGTGAAAGTAACTGATGCCTCACCAGTAATTTAGAGCCCCTACAACACTACAAATCGTACCATTTGGATGTTGGGGGGGGGGGGGGGGGGGTCCCTGTTTCACTTCGACAGTCCGAAGGAGATCGTCGCGATGACCCCCGACGTAACATTATCACGAAGCGTGCAATTTCGACGCAGAGCCTCGTCGCGTCCTTGGAGACGTCTCCGAGCGCTTCAAACGGGGGGACGCGTTGCCGAGCGGATCGGCTGTGCTGCGCGTTAGTATTTTGCGGGTGAAATCGTGGCGCGAGTTTCTGCTGATAAAAGCCCCAAAACCTAATGGTGATTCGTTTTTGTTTCGTGTGTGTGCTGTGATTGTAACAACACCTCTCACCCCCACCCACCCCCTTACCCCCCACCCACCCCCACACCTCCCCAACACCCCCCCCCAACCCCTGCTCTTGTCTATCTGGTCTTTGCCCCGAGTAGCAGTTTGCAGCGACCCGAGTTTATCGCCCGACTCTCAAGACCCTCTACAGGACGACACGAAAGACTCGGAGAGCGCAAACATCTCGGATAAAGAGACCACCAACGCCGAGAACGAGGAGCAGAACCTGGGGGCCAAGCGCAGGGGCCCCCGCACCACCATCAAAGCCAAGCAGCTGGAGACCCTCAAAGCGGCTTTCGCGGCGACCCCCAAACCCACCCGACACATCCGAGAACAGTTAGCTCAGGAGACGGGGTTGAACATGAGAGTGATCCAGGTAAGAGAGGTCTGGCAATAAGGGGTCATTAATAATCGTAATAATAATGATAATAATAATGATGATGATGATGATTTGATGCAGCGCCTCATCGCGTCGTGGAGACGTCTCAGAGCGCTTCACGGGATAAACTGTGAAGCGGATGACTTGTGTGTTTTGTGGGTAGGGAGGAATGAGCTGAATGTTACATTTGTGGACATATTTGCACAAATTTGCACAACTATGTGATATATATCTGGTTATATGTGCGTGCGTGTGTGCGCGTATGTGTGTGTGTGTGTGTATGCGCGTATGTGTATATGTATGTATGTGTATATGTGTGTGTGTGTGTGTGTGGAGGTCGTTTAAACCGAGATAAATAGCGAAAAACAGGCGACAAGAGACGTGCGTTTGAGGATCTTTATAAACTGAGACCCAATTGTATTTTAGGAACCAGGTTGACTCGGGATTTCAGAGGAGGTTTGGGGGGATATAGGGACGAGCGCTGGAAATGGTTTAAAGAGGGTTTATTTAACACGAGTGTGTGTAGTGCGGGATAAATGACAGGGGCGGAAATAAAAGGGAGGGGGGGGGGGAGAGGTGGGGGAGTGGGAAGAGTTCAAAGTCGGATACGTGGTCAGGGATATATCGCAGGGAAATAAAAACCCACAACAGAGCAAACCAGAGGGCAAAGTAACCAGTAACCAGTCTACTCTGAGTGGGATCTGAAGGTATGAGCCCTGAAATGGAGAATCATGAGAAATTGTGCTGTATTCAGGGGTCACAGCAAGTCCAGCCAAACACAGCCAAGCGATAATTATAAACCAGACCCCAAAGTAATCATTGTGAGAGTTGTGCAAGTGATTCAAACCCGGGACAAGTCAGCTGCTCAGAATGGGAGCAGGTGTGCCGTACTGTGCCAGCGAAGCCGGGTTTGAAACACAAGGGGCTGTTTTACGCACACACACACACACACGGGCCAAAGGAGAGTGGGAGACACACATACGCAGAGGAGAGAGGGAGAGAGACAGAGAGAGAGAGTGGGAAAGTCAGAGAGACAGACAGAGAGAGAGAGAGAGAGAGAGAGAAACCACAAACAAAATGAAACCCTGTGAACGAGACGTGCGGTTGGTACACACACAGGTTTACCTGCAGCCAATTCTAACTGAGAAGTGTAGACCCTGAGAGTATAAGCAGAATTCTTGTGTAAAAAAAAAAGAGAGGTAAAAAAGGGCTGGAAAGAAAATTGCATGGGAGGGGTGGGGGGGTAGAGAGAGAGAGGGATTAACTACACTTATTCTAATCCAGGAATGAATACAAGGGGACACCTAATCCCGCTAGAGGGTACACATGGCTATCACCTCATTCGACCCAGGTTAAATATAGAACACATTATCCCAAGTGAGGGATAATTACTTGCAGTCTCACAGGGCACAGTGAAATTAATTTCCCTAGTTTTTCAACCATTTTGGGGTTAAAAAAAATCTATAAAAACCGTTCATTAAAGTGATTTGAATTCCCCTGTACTCTTGTGCAAACCGGGCACATACAATACATGTATATTATTATTATTAATAATAATAATAATAATCCTTGCATTTGATATGGCGCCTTATCGAGTCGTTGAGACTCTCGAAGCGTTTCACAGAATATTCAGTACTTATAAAGTGTGTATTTTGTGGGTGAAACATTTGAGCAAACTGATTTGTTTGTATATATATATTTACATATATAAAAGCCAATCAGTTTGATTTATTGCACTTATTTTTTAACGAATGCTCTCCCGCTTTTTGTTTCCTTCAGCAAGAAACTCCAGAATCCGCCTTTAACGCGTTAATAATAATCGTATACTTTCTACGGGGAAAGGTCGAAAGATATTTTTTTTAAAAAAACAAATCATCATTTGTTACCACACACACAGAAAAGAGGCACAGATATCCTGATATTTCATAACTGTTTTGCTCACTGATGCTATTCTAAATCGGGATTATTAAACGATTGGAATAGGTGTTAGGATGATAGTTACCTCCACCGACCAACAACTGCAGTCACTTGTCTGTTTGTGTGTCTGCGTTGTGTGTGTGTGTGTATGGGTTGTGTGTGTGTGTGGACTGTGTGTGTGTGTGTGTGTGTGTGGGTTGTGTGTGTATGTGTGTGTGTATGGGTTTTGTGCGTGTGCGTATGGGTTGTGTGTTCGTGTATGGGTTTTGTGTGTGTGTTTGCGTAAGGGGTTTGTGTATGGGTTGTGTGTGTGTGTGTGTGTTTGTGTGCGGGGGGGGGTGGTTTTAACGGTGTGAATTCAGGGGAGAAATGAGCAAAAATAGACAAGGTAGACTGGATGGTTTCATTCTTTAGTTGTGGGAAATTCTTCCTGCCTTGTTTGTCATTTGATAGCAACACCACAATGCACAAGCAAGGTAGTTTAACCCTTTAACTTAATTCTGAGCTACGGGGAGGGGTGGTGAGAGGGGGAGGGGTGAGTGGAGGGGTGGGTGGTGGAGGGAATTGAAAAGATATTGGTGGCATTGCAACACAAAACATTGATTTAATATTAATTAAGATTCAATGTTAACCCAGGTGGCTGTCAAACTGAAAGGCATGTGGTACTTACTTTCTGTCCTGACCCCCCCCCACCCCCCACCACCACCACTCAACCACCATCACTCCCCACTCTCCTTCCTCCCTTCTCTTTTCCAGGTCTGGTTCCAGAACAGGAGGTCCAAGGAGAGGCGAATGAAACAGTTGAGTGCTTTGGGGGCCCGGAGACACGCGTTTTTCCGCAGTCCCAGACGGATGAGGCCCCTGGGAGACCGCCTGGACGGGACAGACATGATGGGCAATGGGCCTTTCAATTACTACGGAGGCAAGTTCTCAATTCGTTTTTTTATGAAACACTCCCCAGGATGTGCTTAAGCAACTTATTATTTATTTAATGGGGAGCGCGCGGCGCGAGGTATTGGCTGACCATTGAAATACTGTATGAAGTTAGCCTTTTATTGACCAGCTTTTGGCTGAATCACAGATTGCAACGGGGGCAGGACTTTCCATGCTATTTTAAGGTTAAAGTATCTATTCTCCACCCCCACCCCCACCCCCCACCCCATTCCCTCACCACCACCACCGCCTCCCTCCTCCTCCTCCTTCTTTTCTATCATCCACCTATCAATGTCATATCACTTTCCAACACACTTTCCACCCAAAACACTGATTGTTTTTGGGGGGGGAGCATGGGGTCTCAATTGAAGCACCTCTCTTTCTCCCCCCCCCCCCCCACCCCACCCACCACCCCAAATACACACACACACACACACAAATAACAATAGGAAAGAACTGTGTTCTGTGTACCACAGAGCTGAAGCACAAGGAGAAGTGAGTAAGTGAGCTTTAGCCTAACACGACCATGTAATGCACCATTGCCTTAAGGGCGACGTTTACTAGTGAGGATAGTGGCTCATTCTTAAAAGGGACAGACTGTGCAATCGGCTTATATGGGTTTACAAGCTTTCCCGTTGCACTTGATAGTTAATAATCAAGGTGATTTACAATAACTTCGGGGTGTGAAGCCGTGAGTTGATAACGGGCTTGGTGCCCTGCTGAGTTTTATGTTTGGAAAACGTACTCCACACTCCTCTGTCGTCAAGCAATACACGTCGACTCACTTTACAGTATATTCTGTGAAGGGCTTTGAGACGTCTCGAAGATGTGATGAGGTGCTCAAATAAATACCTGCAAGGATTATTCTGCTTATTATTATTATTATTATTATTATTATTATTATTATTATTATTGCAAAGGCTGTGTCTGCTAATAGTTCTGGGCTGCCAAATGGGTTGGTACACCCACGATTTGGAAGTTTCTCAGACAAAGCTGCCACGTGGAATCCTTTAACGCAGTGAGAGAGTTAGTCAACGCCTGGTTAGAGACTCTTAAATGAATTACAACCAGAAGCCTTATTTTTTTGCTGTGTTCCCCCCCCCCCCCCCCCCCCCCCCCACCACCACCACCCTCTGGGGTGGGGAAGGGGGATCACCATGCAGGAGGAGTTTTTTTTTCACATATAAACATGGTGGGGTGGGCTGGGGGGGGGGGGGGGAGGTTTTGCTGAAACTGTACAGTGCAGCAAAGAGTTCACCAGCTGATTTGCGACACTCTCCCTCCCTCCATCCCTTCACTCACCCTCTCCTTTCCCTCCCTCCCTCCTTCTATCCCTTCACTCTCCCTCCCTCCCTCCATCCCTCACAATCTTGCCTCCAAGTCATTCTGAACGGGACACGTGGGTTTATATTGTATGGAGATAAGAAAAAGTACTGACTGCCTGACTGACTGACTGCAAATCACCGCGTTACTCATTAACACCAGGATTAATACCAACTCAATCCCGAACTCCTATTCCTTAACGACCCATAACGCTTCCAAAGCCCTTTTCCTTCCTTCCTTCCTTCCCTCCTTCCTTCCTTCCTTGTACCAGCGTCAGGCAGATAGTGTGATAATGTCAGCTGGACACGAGGTTTCCCCCCACTCTCCCTCTCTCTTTCTCTCCCCAAACAATGTTTACACGACATTAATAATGATATTAATGTAAATAATTGAAAGAAAGAGACGTCCAGAACGTGTGATAACCCTCAGCTTCCCATTCCGCCACCGGTTAGGGCGTCAGAGTGACATTTGTCACCTCGATATTGCTGTTTGCAGTGAGACGTGTGTTTTATGGGACTACATTCATCACATTACTTATGGAAATTAACGTGTACGTCGGGTTGAATTGGAAGATAGTCGGCAGGAAAATAGGAATGACAACTGCTGCGATTCCAATTGATAAATTTCCACACACACACACACACACAGAGCTGAATTACAGACACACACACAAATTCCCCGAAAGTGGGTTTTACCACCAACTAACCACCACGTTGGTTAGTTTTATATATATATATATATATATATATATGAAGAATGAGAATTATTTGGGAGCGAAGTTTTGAAATACACACCAACAACACACCCCCACAAATCTCCTTCCATTGTTCTGATCGATTTACAACGCACCGTTTCAACGAACCGATTTTTTTTTTCGGGAGTTATTTCATCCGCGCAATTGCAGGGATAACGCACCCAACACACACCACACACACAGCACAGCTCTGCACTGGATCTGCTGGATGTCTCCCCCCCCCACCCCCCCCCCCCCCTCACAAAAATTGCACACTCAATCCACCCACTTTACAGTGCATTCTTTGAAGCGCTTCGATACGTCTCAGTGGCCCCGATGCGGCGCTGTATTATTATTATTATTATTATTATGTATTATGCAAGGATTATTATTATTATTTCTATTATTATTTTTTAACACATTTCGCGTCCAAGCTGTACCTTAAATCACTTTTCTCTCCCCACAGCCCCCCCCCCCCCTTCCCCCCAAAAAAAAAATTGTCCTTATCAAATGCGAGGGTCAAATGCAAGGAGTGTTATTCTTGTTATGACGGTTATGAATGTGGGTACCACTTTTTTTTTAATGTAACATCATCGGGACGTGGGCGGTCGGGGTTTATTACAAACGTTGCTCTTTGAGCCCTGGGATATGATTTGATGTACTGTATCTTTCCTAGGCTGAGGGGGGGGGGGACTGTAAAATGTCATTAGCTGAACGTGTGGGTGGGGGGGGGGGGGGGGGAATAGCTGTGTGTGTGAGAGAGAAAGAGAGAGAGAGAAAGGGAATACTTCTTTCTGTTTGCTGCAAAATGAGAGCGAGTGAGCATTATTCAAAACCCTGATCCCTGCTGAGCCAATCCTTCTGTGTGATAGGGATTAATAGCAAGAGATGGTTTGCTTGCAAATCATCACATTTGGTTCAATTTTTCCCCTTCACTCACTCACTCGCTCGCTCACTCACTCACTCACTCACTCACTCACGGAGATGGGGGTGGGGGGAAATTAAATCAACCAAACAAGGGCACCACTCTCTGATTTCCAAATGGGACGCAAATTAGAAGGCGAGAGAGAGAGAGAGAGAGAGAGAGAGAGAGAAGAAAAAAATAATAATAATACCCTTTGATCGTTGTTTGCAATACCCGTCGCGCCTCACACTGTGAATTCACACAACACTTCTGAACCGCAGACTTTTTTTTTCCACAGACGCGAAGGCGTGTAAAAGGCTCATTAGCTAAAAGAGAAAATAATTCTCAGCATTATATCAACACAACACACACAACACACAGAGAGAGAGAGAGATGAGAGAGAGAGAGTACTCCCACTCCCCCACTCCCACCCCCCAACCCTCCCATCAGGACGACTCTGTTTGTTTTAACCATCGCATCAAAACCAATTCCTAATCTCTTATTTTTTTAATAAAAAATAAGAGATTATCTCTCGATTTTTAGCTTGGGGTTGCCAGTGGATTTATTTCCAAATTAACTTGCACAGAGAAAAGGCAAGCGGGGGGGGGGGGTTTGGCGACCAGAATTGGTGACCAGAAGAAACGTTTGGGTTTTCCTGGAGAGGCAGAACAGAGGAGGTTCGGGTTTTCTGTCTTAGGAACTGGTTCTGACTGAAACAGGACCCGCCTTCAGTGGGATGAGGAGCTAATCAATTAAATTAATTAGGATTTGTGTGTGTGTGTGAGAGAGAGAGAGAGAGAGAGAGCATGTGGATTGAATTGCAAATTTAGGAGCTGGCGAGAGGCAAATGATTTAAGATGCGAAACGTCTTTCACTCTATAAATAATAATAATAATAATAATAATTCTTGCATTTGATATAGTCATCACGTCGTTGAGACGTCTCAAAAGCGCTTCACGGAATACACTGTCAAATAATAATATAATCCTTGCGTTCGATATCGCGCTTTTCACGTCGTCGAGACGTCCCAAAGCGCTTCACGGAATGCACTGTAAAGTGAATCGACTGTGTGTGTTTTTTTGGGGGGGGAAACGCTGCAACGAAAGGAGGGGATTTCTGATGGAAAAATCTCTCCAATTTGAAAAAGCTTTCAAGACAACTTAGCGCCTTGATTGAACTTTTGGCCGCTCCGCTTTTTATTTGGGGATTGTTTTCATGTGTTTGCAGATTACTTTGGAGTCGCGCTGTGTTTTTTTAAAAAAATCTATATATATATATTACATATATATTAAATATATATATATATATATTCGCAAGAAACACACAAAAACAAAGTGGATTTGTTCGGGTGTTGAGACCGTTTTGCTTGTGCCGTTTTTCTTTTCCACCCCAATTCCCCCCCCACCCCCCAACCCCCCCCCACCCCCCAACCCCCACCCCCCAACCCCCCCCAAAAAAGACCCAAACTTTTCTCAGCCCTAAAGTTGTACAAAAATGTTATTTTTTATTTGTCATATCAATTATTAATGTTATTTGTTGGTAAAAAAGTGTTACTTTGGTTGTGTGTGTGTGGGGGGGGGGGGGCTTGTGTCTGTGGGTATGTGTATGTGTGTGTGGGGTGTGTGTGGGTGGGGGGGTGTGTGGGGGTGGGGCTTGTGTGTGTGTGTATGTGTGTGCGGGGTGTGTGTGGGGGGGGTTGTTGTGTGTGTGTGGGGGGGGTTGTGTGTGTGTGTGTGGGGGTTGTGTGTGTGTGTGGGGGGGGGTTGTGTGTGTGTGGGTGGGGTTGTGTGTGTGTGGGGTGTGTGTGTGGGGGGTGGTTTCTGTGTGTGGGGGGGGTTGTGTGTGTGGGGGGAGGGGGGGGTTGTGTGTGGGGGGGAGGGGGGGTTGCAAAAAGATCAAGGTGCAAAGTGGGATTCTATTTATTTACGTATCTATTTATTTATGGTATCTATTGATTGATTGATTGATTTATCTCTTTATTAATGAATTAATTAACGAATTAATTAATGAACTAATTCATTGATTTATTTGCTGATTTATTGGCCCATTTACTCGCTGGTTTGTTTATTTGACGATTTCCCCTCTTGCCGCCACCGCCCCCCCCCCCCCACCACCGCAGATTACCAGACGGAATACTACGCCAGCAATTACGACTTCTTCCCCCAGAACGCGCCCCCTTCGCAAGGGCAGACGCCCGCGGAGCTGGGTTTCGTACCGACCCCCGGCCCTGTGCCACCCCCTCTCGGCGGGTTGGAGCACCCGTTGCCCGGACACCACCCGGCCAACCTGCAGGCCACCGGCGACTCGCAACGCTTCACCGACATGATCTCCCACCCTCACGGCGACTCGCCCAGCCCCGAACCCGGGCTGACGGGACCCTCGCTGCACTCCATGGCGGCTGATGTCTTCGGCTCCGGCCCCAGCCCGGCCTTCTCCCTGTCTAACGGGGCTTACACCGGCCACTTGTCGCACCCGCCTCCAGAGATGAACGAAGCTGTCGTGTGGTAACTTAACGTCTGGCCTGGCGAGCGGAAAATACCCCGAACTTTCGTTTAAAAAAAAGTGTGTGTGTGGTGGTGGGGGTGTGGGGTGTGGGGGGTGGGGGGGGGGCAATATATTGAACACGTTTCAAGGCTCCAAACACTCACACACACACAAATACACATACACACACATATACACACACACACACACATACATACATATACATACACACACATATACACACACACACACACATACATACATATACATACACACACATATACACACACACACACACACATATACACACACACACATATATACACACATACACACACACACACACACACTCCTTACCCCCCCACCACCCCCCACCCACCCACTCTCTTGTCTCCCTCCTCTCCAAATTGAGTGCTTGGAACACACACAAAAAAGGGGGAAAAGGAAAAAAAAAAGCTCAACAAACTCACCAGAGAGAAGAAGGAGGAGAAGAAAAAGAAGAAGCAGCAAAAAGTTTTCTTTTTTTTTGGTTAATTATTTGTTGGTGGTGGTTGGGGGCGGTGAGGGTGGGGGGGGGGGAGGGGTTTGGGGGGAAATCACTTCAGAAATAAAGATGGATTTCTTCAAAAGAATGGAGAAAAGACACCTGGAAAACGACAAAGCTTTAAAATCAGAAAGGAACACATTTTTTTTCTCTCTCTCAAAAAAAAACAAGACAACAACAAAAAAACTTGACCTCGTAAGAAGACAAAAAGGAGCTTTTTTGGGGTGGGGGTGGGGGTTTTTGGGGGGGGATTGGTTGTGGGGTTTGGAGGGAAGAAGCCTTGAAAAGACTTCCAACTACTTTCTCTCTCCTCTCTCTCTCTCTCTACCTAAGCAAAGCTGAAGGGAAAGCAAACACAAAAATATTTTAAGAGGAAAAAAAAATATGCTCATGAATGAACTGAAAGAGTCTACTGTTTACGTATAATATTTAATTCAGGAGTTTATTTTGGGGGGTGGGTGGGTGGGTGGAGGGGGGGGGGTGATGTTTTAGAGGGAAAAAAAAACATTTTAGAACCTCTTGATCCGAACTGAACAAAAACAACAACAACAACAACAACAAGAAAGGCATCAAAGTTAACCAAACTGCTTTTATTGTTTCTCTCTCCCTTCCCTCTCTCCCTCCCTTCTCCCCTTCTCCCCATCCCACCCCACCTTCTCAACAACAACAACAACAACAACAACACAAGGTGTAACAAAAAAAAAAGGTTTTTGCTGGAGATGCTAGTTTGTACAAAGTGTTTCTGAGTATGTTTACAACAAAAAAAAATGTGGAGAAACATAGGGGGAAAAAAAAGGTGCCAAATAGAGAAGTCATAGAGCACAATTACTGTAGGTGCGTTTAGCACCGGTTCATTTTGGAGGAAAATAAAAGTGTTCAGGTGGGTGTGTGGTGCAACACACACTCTGTTCATTTTTAGCCCTCTCCAACCCATGTTAATAATGCCCATATATACTGTAGATTCACCAAGGATTTTATTTTTGTGTCTGGACAGGAACGAAATTAAAAAAAAAAGGTCAAATATTTAAACAGTTTTACTACATGGTCGAATATGCAGTGGATAGCTGCTAACTCCCCCTCCCACCCTCTCTCTCCCCCCATTCCCCCCACCTCACACACCTCCTTTATACAGTTGTAGGATTCCTCATGATCTTAAAAATGTCCATTTTTTTGTCATACTACTTAATAGGGCCAACGCTTCTGTGACCTCCCGTTTGCATATTAGACCGACCATTCACTGTATAAACGAGAAGACATGTTGAATAAATTTGTGACTTTTTAATAAAAAAAATTTGATGTTTTAATGTCTTTCATTGCCACTGTGTTATTTTGAAGTGGGTGCAGTAGCGACAGTCGAAAGAAAACCACTGGGAGTTTTCTGGGACACTTCTGCTTTCAGTTGTATTTAATATTATATGAATTATTAGTTACAACCGACATATGAAACATCGTACATATTTATATAGTACATAACATATTATTTATTAATGAATAATTAAGTTATAATGAATATAGACATTTGCTCTCTCCCCTTTTCCCCATATAAGTCCATCTGCTAAAACGTCCCAAATTCTATTGAAGAAACTTTTTTGTTAAAAGTTCGCATTACCTGCATTTTTTTTAAAAAGAAAATTAATATGCTCTCGAATATCACGTATAATAATTCGATATAAGTTGCAAAGTAAATGCAGGTGTGTCCTCTATTGGTTTATTTATATTTAAATACAAAAGTAAGAGTTAGGTAGATATATCGCAATTTATTTTCTGTATTGGTTTCAATGCTCTGTAAAACTGTAAAAGGTACCATCGCAATTGCAAACGATTTGCATGTAATATAGAGCAAAGAACGAATGAATCATTAAACTATCTTACTCTTGCACTACCACTAATTATATATCATGTATTAAACATCGAATGTATGGGAGATAGTACAGTTTTAAATCTTTTTATTGTGAATTACACGCTGCAATGTCATATTACTGCACAAATAAATCATGTGTTTTTTTTTGGGGGGGGAGAGGGGATTAAGAGAATACTTATTATGACCTGAGGGTCAAAATATTTATTCCTTTATCAGGCAATACAAATAAATTGCATGCAATGGGGGAAAGATTACCCTTTGAAAAATCGCCATGTGAAACTATTTGTCAATGTTACACCAGATAAGGTGAGGTTGTTAATGCACCTGCAAAAAAAAACACACCCCTTAATAAATACCCAGTTTCCTGACTCTCGGTGTTAGCACACAGACCAAAAAATAAAAGACGTTAAACGTGTTATTTTTTTCTGGCACAGAGACTTAATTGCAGTCTTTCAAACCATCGAAGGGATATCCCATTTAACGGTGCAATTCGCGACCACTACTCAATACTCGAACTCTTATTTATCAAAAAACATTTAATCCAACTTCTTCGCAACTTCCTCATTGGATGTCGAATTAATTTTGCAAAGGGTTCTGCGAAAATACTCTTATTAGAGATGTTATGTACTGGATATCTGAATTCGCAAGTAACTTCCAGATATCCCCAAACACAATTTGGAAGAAAGTTCGATACTTTTATCTTAATATAAGGACATTTATTTCCAGTGGAATAGAAATACAGTCTATTGCTGTGCACACGAATCGCCACCACACCTCTTGTCTTTTGCACATTATCAGTAATGGTGGGGGCTATACAATCCTCCATTAAAATTACCATTAAAATAAAACATTTGTGCTTTGCCATTTAATATCAGAGTTAATTTATTGCAAATGATTTATGTTTCCCGGCGAGTTAACTGATGGGATTGCAAATTTTTGTTTAGGACGTCGGAATATGAGACAAATGTTTCCAGCTATAATTATCAAATGAAAAATATCAAATGCAAGGATTATTATTATTATTTACCTCATATGAATATTATACTTTCATATTATCTTAATATATGATACTATACAGTGTAACAGAAAATATAAACACCAACACACACTTGTTTATTCCTACATGGCTGTATTCACGATGTGTATATATTGAAGTACATGACTGGTTGTTAATTTTATAAGTGTCACACTATTATTATAAAGTGCAGTTTGGCGATAATGCCCAAAAAGTCTCAGTATGGATAGAGGGTAGAATTTGGATGTCAACCTGTTCCAAAACAGATAATAGTAATAATAATAATAACAGCACTTACACCAGTTTAATGATATATATATATTAAATTTGTATCTAGAGAACTTTTTGTTGGCACCACAAATTAATAGCTTAGTCCTCTGACCAGTTCTTGTTTCTTGCTTCCAAATAACAAGTAAAATCTATAACTTCTGCGTTTTTTTGGGGAGAAAACACTAATAATATTGCAAATGCAGGGATTGGCAGAAGGTGGTGGGGGGGAAGGGGGAAATGGTGATGGGCAATGTGCAAAAGTGTCTGATGGAAGAGATGCAACTTTTTTTCCATGTGTGTGTGTGTGTGTGTGGATGGGTGTGTGTGTATGTGGGTGTGTGTATGTGTGTGTGGGTATGTGTGTGTGGGGGTTGGGGGGTGAAAGGGGGAATAATAACATTGCAATGGGGGGAAAACAATAACCAGTGAAACAATATATAAAATAAATGCAAGTTGCAAGGATTAATAATACCTAATTGTTATTAAAATGGTAGGAAGGGAAATAATATATAAATGCGAGTGAGTGCTGAAGGAGAAGAGAGCAGAGTGGTGTGTGTGTGTGTGTGGGGGGGGGAAAGGGGAGAAGAGTGGGCGGAAGTGACGGACGGGAAGTGACGCCGCCTGACGTCACGCTGAAACCGCTCTATCTCTCGACTGGGGCAAGATGGCGGCCTCCATCTCGCGGCAGCTCGAGGAGCTGCTGAACCCTTTGCCGAGTTTCAGGGACCCCGAGGACGACCAAGACGAAGGTACGAGACCCCGACCCCCCCCTCCCGACCCCTCCTGACCCGACCCCCCACCCATCCCCACCACCCCACCCCCCACACACACACACCTATCCGTGCGGTGAGGTGCGGTGCGGCCGCCGTCACGGAGGCTCTGGCGAGAGGCCTCGGCCACCGGTGCCTCAGCCTCTGTCGCCTCTTTACTCACTCACTCACTCACTCACTCATTGACACACTCACTCTCTCTCTCTCTCTCTCTCTCTCTATCTATCTATCTATCTATCTATCTATCTATCTATCTATCTATCTATCTATCTATCTATCTATCTATCTATCTATCTATCTATCTCACTCACTCACTCACTCACTCACTCACACTCTCTCTCACACTCTCTCACTCTCTATCTTTTAAGCGAGAAGGTGGAATAGTGATGGTCAATGTGCAGAAGTGCTGATTGAGAGTATGTACATACACACAGTATATCTTTAAACTTGTATTCGCACATCATTTCGGGTGGGATGATATTTATTTCCATGTCATTATAATTATAATCCATATATATATATATATGTGTGTAATTTCCCCCCCAAATATAATATAATATATAGGGTAGCTGTATTTTGTAAACCAAATCCAGGGATATGTCTGTGTGTGTGTATATGGAGAGAATTGAACCCACCACAATTCCTGATGCTGGTAGTTACTGGAGAAGCTTGTTGGGGTTCTCTGATTATAATAATAATAATAATAATCCTTGCATTTGATATAGCGCCTTTCACGTCGGGAGGACGTCCCAAAGCGCTTCACAGAACACACTGTAAAGTGAATTGACTGTATATTTGTGGGCGAACGCGGCAGCCGATTGCGCACAGCAATGTCCCACAAACAGTCGTAGATTGAAAACGACCAGTTTATTTTTTTTTTGTTTTGGAGGGATTATCATTAGGCTCTGTGTGGAGTAAGGAAACTTGCCCAAGGTTTCGCCCTCTGCCTGGAATTGAACTCAGGTCTCTCGCTTGCAAAGCGAGTGCTCTAACCACTGAGCTACAGGACTCCATGTTCGTTTAAAGGGAGCAGTTGCTTCGGGATGCTCCCCATTCGACCAGAAGCATTTGCTCCACAGGAATGTTGCTCGTCCTTCAGGCGCCTTCATTTACATAGCACTTCACAGTATTCATCCTGAATGTTTTAAACACGCTCGCCCCTTCCCTGAGCTTCATCGAAAATCTAGGAACTGTTTCCTTCAAAATAGTCACAGTAAAATAGTAACTGACATCTTGCCACCCTTCCTCAATATAAGAAAAACTAACCATCGTTGTGAAGATGCCAGCCGGATAAGTACAAGTCATTTTCAGGCTAAAACAACAAATATCAGACACGTGTTTAAAATGACTGACTTTGACGTTGTGGTTGAGAATATCAAGCTTTCGGCTTTTGAATCACAAGCAGTGGAGCTTGCAGATGTTTTTTTCTTTTATTAAATACAGTAGTTGATTGCTTGTGTCTATGAGTACTGGGGCTATGCTTCCCACTCAAATCGACAACATAAGTTAGAATTTTCCCACAGGGCTTATCTTTACCTTTTTTCAGGTTACGTAATTTACTGTCACCGTAAATATTTAAGTGCAGCGTTTCCAAAGGACGTCTTGGAATGAATCGAGGTGGAGAGTCTTGAGTTTGCCTTGTGTCATCCCTGCTTTGTGAGGCCCCATTGAATTGTTATTTACACCGTAGTATTTAGAGAACCAATGAGATCCAGAGCTACAAATTCATCCCACTCCAATACATTATTAAAATATAGGGTATTTGAGGCTGTGCCAGGTCATAATTTTTAACTGTAATTCCCACTAATGGGATTTTCATGATGGTGTACCAAATTCTCTGGAGGGAGTTGAAAGCTACTTCCTTTAAAGAGATGGGAGGTGCTACCGTGTGTGTGGTCTGTACTTCCAGTAAAGCTGACAAACTGAAATAAATGGTATTTCTCTGCCATAAACAGAATATTTGATTGCAATCCATTTGAATATGAAATTAATCTCATTTACCATTCTCTTCCACCAGTGGTGCTAGTCAGTGATTCATCTTCCTCAATTGTTGGATGATTCCATATTCAACAGCTTGCCATTAAGTGTTTTCCATATATTCCTCCCATCCTTGCTTTCCCTCCTGAGGATATCACACATGCTTCTCCTGGCTGTTGGGTTGAATCAGCAGGTTGGAAGACTTGCTCACAGCCACCATTCTGGTTTGCTGGTTAATTTTTGTATGGCAGTTGTTCATACACTTGGTCGAGAACTGACATGACTCAACTGAAGGAAGGAAGTTCAGGTGGTTATTGATATTATGAAGTGTTATTTCTGTGAGGGACCTTGGTATGGGCAGTGTGTGTTATGTACTGTGTCCCTCCCATTTACAGGGTTTGTTTGTTTATTAAATCTGGTTTCTTCCAAAAAGCCAAGGGATGAATGAATGACGTAGGGCCCAGGTTCATACATTTCTGCAATATTGATTCCATGGTCTGAAAAAAGGCACAATATTATGTTCTCTTTGCTTCACAGCAACTATTGCCAAGGTTATTGACAACTTTGACGAGGGAGATGATGATGGGACAGTTGATGTTAGCAAACTGCGAAATCGGGCATCGGTTTTGCTGTCTGATACAGACAAGAGGTATGCTGGAAAGGCAACATCTCGAAAAGCATTGGAGCAAGAGACTGGCGAGGATTCTTTTCCTGAAGAATCAGGTAGGTGATATATCACTGTATCTTTAGATGGTTCCAAACACTCTCAATAACCGGGTTCTTAGGATTCAGAAACACAAAATAAACACATTCTTAGCCATTTTGTCTTCAAATTTAAGATTGTTCATAACTATGGGTTATTCTTAAATTAATTCCTGAAGGTTTCGTCATATTTGTAGGTTGGCGAGCAGTTTATGAAGTGGGGAAGTGGATATTTGGGATGTGGATAGAATGTTTAAAATCACCGAGGAGAAATCTGCTTGCATGAAATAAGTGATATGAAACTAGGCTTGGCCAAACATTAAAATACTCAGTGTCAAAGCTTGGTTAAGTGATATTGAGGAAATTCAAGAATATTTTAACCTTTTCTATGCACTTAAAAGAAAAGATATCATGCAGTTGTTGTGTAATGATAAACATTTGTTAAGTTAGGCAGATATTTTATTGTTAATAACCACAATTAATTAATCCTTACACTTGATATGTTGGGAGGATGTTTCAAAGCTACATATACTGTAAAACGGAGCGACCGTATTTTGTGGGCGAATGCGGCAGCCAACTGGCATACAGTAATGTCCCACAAACATCCGTGAAGTGAACACTAGTTTTATTTGGGGAGGACTGTTGGCCAGGGAAAAAACACTCTTCTCTTTTTTCCACCTTAAAATACCTAACTTAAATGAGCTAACCCTTTATCTTTTCCTTTCCATTTATGTCTGAAGAAGCTGACGTGTCACAGGAGGAAATGGAGGAGGAGGATGAGAGGGAAGAACTGAATGAGGACGAGGAACAGGAAGATGTAGATGATGAGAGTGGAGAAGTGACAGCCTTGAGTGACAAGATGAAGAAGCCGAATTTCAGCTTCCAGAATATCAGTGACTTTGATAAATTCACACAGGGAATGGACGATGTGGGAGGAAGTGATGACAGTGGCGAGGAAGATGAGGAGGAGGAGGAGGAGAAGGAAGGGGACGATGATAAAAGTGAGGAAGAGGACGTTGATGAAGGTGGGGAACAAGACCACGGCCCGGTGATGACTTTCTCCAAAGAAAAAGTGACCGAGGAGGTTAAGAAAGGACAGTCTGTAAAAAAACAAATGGGTACGGTATATTTATGAGATGCTTGTACATTGGGCAATATCTGCTATATGTTAAATATACAATATTTGAAATATATATGAACTCCCCCCACCCCCGACGAGAAAGGCACTGCAGAAATGTAAATTGTATTTATCTCAATTTGTTTAGCCGTCGTTACAGTTTCAGGGCTGCCATCCTGCTGGCTGCCTCTCGCCTGGCGGTTAGTTAGGTGTGGACGAGGGCAGTTGAATCGGTCCTGCTATTTTCAGGCACTGCTATAAATGCATCTTCCTTTTTATAAACGAGGTGCCCGCCGAGCAGTTTGGAGAGGATGCAGTTGGTGCCACAGCGCCTAGTGCCACGGTATAGAAAGATGCCCGTTTACTCGGACAATTACCTATTGCTGTTTTCCCTCATCTTGGCTGCGCTGTCGGGCAGGAACCAAGCTGAGGTGAGACGCTTCTCCACGAAGAGAAGGGAAATCGGGCAGCAAGGTATCGTGGTGTTCCTGCAATGCACTGGGAAGTGGCATTGGCAGAAGGTTTGGCAATAGCTTAGCTCTGGCTCGTAAGCCCCTCTGGCGAGGAATGGTTTGCAGCCTGTGGAAGTTGGAAGGGAGGCCGGGGAGTGCGTGTGTGTGTGTGTGTGGGAAAAGCGAAGGAATCCAGCTGATAAAGATCGAAGGGAAACCGGTCGAGAACTGGAATCCAGCACAGAACAGTCTGTTCTGAGTTGCCATAGTAATTGAACACAAGCTGCTCGAGAATTCTGCGCATTCTGGGTTAGCGTTCGGCCCACAGAGAGCTTTGAATGGCTTCTTAAGCAAAACACACTCGTTATCGGCAAGAACTTCTGTCACGGTTTGCAACTTTCTTCTCTTCTCCCTCTCTCCCCCCCAACCCCCACCTCCCCCTCCCACGCACACACTCCGATGACTAGAATCTCTATGACCATTGCATCATGAGTGGCTTACCATAGCTTTCCCTCTCAGTGCGTGTCCCAATGCTGCTCTCACTAATGTCCACACATGCATTTTCCAGTAGAGTTCACTGGATAGTATTCCCAGCTGATTCCACCACCCCCCACCCTTCCTAACCTGGAGATGCTAAGGCTAATTGTTGGGCGTCCCTGCCCACCCACATGCGCCCCACAACCTCTCTCCGTGCTTAAATCTGCTAACCCAGCACAGAACAGGTTATTGGACCTGATACCTTTCCAGTCTACGTGTCGTAGCAGTGCCTTTCCCCACCAGGGAATTGAGGGAGCTCGGGTTGCTGAGTGTAGTCGGTGTTCGAGGCATCTGGGTTGTTTGCATGCTTTGCACATCTTGCCTGCCCTGGCTTAAACGGTGCCTTGAAGCAATCTCATCGAGTTTGGTGCAAAGCTTAAATGATATCATTCTTATTCTTTTTTTCCTAGCCGAGCACTTTGCCTGCCAAGTGTCTGTACTACCACCCCCCACCTCCTCACCACTGTGCAACAGTCAGCTGGGATTTGCAAATCAATATGAAGAAATTGATATGTTTAGCAGGGGAGAGGAGGGAAGGGGAAGAGATCCAAAGAATGGTTGGAGACTCATGTGGAGTATAAACGCTGGCAAGGACTGGTCGGATGGAAAGGCTTGTTTCTACGCTTTACATTCATTTGCACATCTTTGTAAATTGAGGACTGCGTTAAAAGCACTGCCTGCACCTCACAAAGGCTGAGAGACTGAATGTAAAAAGTCTCGTCCACTTCAATTGTTTTTTTAAACCAAAAAAAAGGAAGCAAACCCGACTTGCAGGTTTCCTTTGGTTTAAAGGATTTGACGGACACCACTCATGGTCTCTCAGCCCAAACCGTACAGCATGGAAACAGGCCACTCGGCCCAAACAGTCCGTGCCGGTGTATTCCACATGAGTCTTCACCCATTCCTTTACTCCCTTCTATTCTCCTCTCCCTCATGTGAAGATCTAGCTTCCTCTTGAATGCCTCAATGCTAACAGTTGAATTTTAGAGGCACGTTTGTATGCACCTATACACACAAAGAGGCGTCGGCTGAAGTGAGCGAGAGAAATTATTTGTGATCTCTGTTTTATAGCGCTGTGGGATCATGTGCTCGAAAGTCGAATCCAACTACAGAAAGCCCTCCTGACAGCGAATCAGCTTCCCCAGCCTGATATCTTTCCTACGTTTCAAAAGAAAGGTGGCCGAGAATTTGCTACCGCCTTGAAAGACAGTAAGTGCACTTCATTGTTTTAATCTTCATTTCGAAATGGTCTGTTGCTTCCACCGCACCTCCCAACCTATGTTCTCTCTGTGCCTTCCCTGGTCCACAGAATCAGCTGGAGATCTAGATCCATTGCACTGTTCTTTGACCGTGCCTTCAGCTCCCCTCTCGACTCTCTACCCCCTCCTCGCTCCCTCCCTTCCCTCCCCTCACCCTCACCATTTCCCCAATGCTCGGGTCCTGACCCAACTGTACAGCGTCTTGGGACGTCCTCCCGACGTGAAAGGCGCTCTATAAATGAAATGTTGTTGTTACTGAGGGAGGGCTGTGTTGTCAGACTTGCCGTCCTTGAGGATGAGACATTAAAACCAAGGTCTCGTCTTCCTGTTTGTGTGGGCTTTAAAGATCACATTCGATCCCTGTTTGAAAACTGAGAGGAGTTGCTCCCGTTGTTCTGGCCAGCAATCCCCCAGAGTAAAATTGCTCATTGTATTTCCTGGACATTGTGGTGTGCAAATTAGTTTAGCCATTAGTCAAATACACAGTCGTCGTCAACAACAACAATAACAACTTGCATTCATATAGCACTCTTCATGTGGAAATAGCATCCCGGAGAGCTTGACAGTGGTGGAGTCTGACCCCGTCTGTCACTAATTTAATTTTGAATCCTGTGATTTGCTTTCAGACGTTTCTGCGTGAAAAGTTTTGGATCTGCAGATAATTTGTATATATGAATTTGTGTGTGAAATGCACTGATTGTTATTATTAGCTAAGTGCAGTCCAGCGTTTGAACCCGAGAGTTATTGCTTTAAATTAATTGTTGGATACCTGTAGAAAATGAGCTGAAACCTTGGATTCAGACGATGCGAAGATGCATACAAATGTGCAACTGCTTGCATTTATACCAGGACCTTTCATGTCGTAGAAATGTCTTGAAGCGTTCGGTAGAATGGGATAGATTCATTAGAAATGAAGCTACGAAGGCAAACTCAGCAGCTAATGTGCGGCAGCAACGTCCATGCAACAAGGAGATGATTAATTAGAATTTTTTGGGGTGACTTTGAACGAGACAGAAATGTAAGCCAGGATCACGGGGAGAGAAATTCCAATTTACCTTGAAATAGTAGCAGTGATCTACCTGAACTGCAAGGTAGACGGGACCTAAATTAACGAGTCATTTGAAGGTCTTAAATCGTTGTACGTAAACACACTTGCCTAGACTTTTAGCAATCAGTGTTACGACAAAATAAAATCTTTTGACAGAGGGTTTTGTGTCCAGTCAGAGCGTCATCCTGTCTTAGTTATAGTACTCTCACCTCTAAGTCAGAAGGTTGTGGGTTCATGGTGGGACTTTGAGCTCATAATCTAGGCTTGGGGAAGAGCTGCTTTGTCGGAGATGATCATTTAGTTCATTGGCTGTTTGTGGGACATTGTGGTGTGCACACTGGCTGCAGGGTTTGCCGGTGAATACCTAGTCACTGGACTTCACAGTAAGAATCCTGTGAAGCATGTCACGATATTTTGAAGCTGTGATAAGGCGTTCTATCAAATGGAAGGATTATTATTATAAATATCAAATCGCACACAAACCATCACAGCCTCTAAATAAATCTGTGATCTTAAACTTGATTTAGCATCGAGGCTAGGCCTCAGCTGTTTTGTCTGATAGAAATTCTCAAATTTTGTTAATTTGTTTTATATCCCGTGTACGCTCTCCTTTTGTTTAATCCCTTGAGCCAGAGACGGAATAATGGAGCAGAACATTTGTCCTGAGCTGATAAATTTGAGTTTGCTAAACATAAAAGTGTGACTTGTAGTTTGTAGCCTGGCATTTTGATTGATGCATGTATTGTTGAGGGGAGGTGATTGGAAGGGTCAAACTGCATAATAATTATTTGACCTTGTTTGCGAAGTGCATGTTATTAACTTATTTAATGAGTTGCATTACAAGCAGTGGAAAGTGCCATGTTTCATTACTGGCCAGGAATGCAATATCATTACAGAGGTATGGCAGAATAAACAGTTGGTGCTTTGACTCGTCAAATTAGTCAAGTGTGTCCAATAATAAAAACAGCATGCACCACAACAACTGAAAGAGTATTGTGAGGTAAACTGTTATCGTATAATTGACAGCTTAGTGACTAAATTGCCAAATGGTGATCTGAAAAACCATTTCTGTAACAATATCATTTGACATGCTATTTTACACCTGGGGCCATCTTTTAATGCTTTTCTATATGTCTTTATGCCTCATTTTTCAATTTGTTTTTTGCTATTTAAACCCGACGGCGTAGTTAGTATGCAATTCACGCACATTCAGAAAGGTCTCTGATAATTCTGCAGGCGTTTGATCAGTTGATGTAGGTTGATGTTTTTTCTGGGTTCAGAAGAGCGAATTGCCAAAGGGTAGTGTTACAAAATATATCCCCGAGATATCTACGGAGCGGTCGGCCACTTGATCAACTATCGTGCATTTTACTGGCGGGAATAAAATTATGTCAGGGTTTTTAAAAATATATACGTTTACAGATTCTGCAAATTCATCTAAAACGTGTGTGTGTGGTGAGTGTGGAGTAGAATAGCTTTTTCTGTCCCTCTTTCCTTCTCTTTCTCGGCCACTGACTTTTTGCTTCTCTCTGGTGGGTATTATACTGTGTGTGTATGTATGTGTGTGTGTGTGTGTGCGTGTATATATATATTTTGTGGAATGGCATTATTTATATACATGCCTTTCTCCTGCCCCCCCAACCCCTTCTCCCTGGGCAATATATTTACATAACCTCTCAGCCTCTTAGCAACTTTTCCTATTCATTTTAAACCAAACTGCAGGGTCTAACACTAAACTTTGCTGGCTGCAAGGTCTTGTGGTTGATTTCTGTTGATGTCCGGTCTCTGCTGTTTGTCAGCTGATATCAATCGGAGCGCTCTGGGACGCTGCCCTGCGTGAGGAGTGCTACGTAAATGCAAATTGTTGTTGTGGAGCAGCAATAAGGAAGAGATGCTGCCGTTGGCTTTAGGGCCCAGGGCTTTGCTAATAAATAGCGAGCATTCTTGCTTCTGATTTCGATCCAGTGACCCACGCTGAAACGTAGCCACGTGTGGACATCAGGTGAGAAGGAATCAGGCTTGGCTGTGATGCCCTGCATGGATGAATAAGTTGCTGGCGCTCCTTGTCTCGGCTCGCACATGAGGTATGGCCAATTGGGCGAGATACTGGAGGGTCAGTTTAATATTTCCAAACGGAATTGTCCTGATTCTTGCAATGCTGCATATACAGCATCCCACTTTATACAATAATTTGGTCATTCAATCCACGACTGCTTTGTGGGGACACTGCTGCGCACAATTGGCTGCCGCGTTTCGCCCCCAAAATATACAGTCAATTCACTTCACAGTATATTCTGTGAAGCGCTTTGAAACGTCTCGATGACGTGGTAAGCCACAATATCAAATGCAAGGATTATTATTTTAAGGCAAGATTAGTTTTGCTCCCATCTTTGCAAATCCTTGACTGTCCAGCGCCTTGGGATATCCTCCCGACGTGAAAGGCTGTATAATTTGTTGTTGTTGTTGACCGGTTTAGCAAACGCTCTCCGAGAGCACGTACTGTTTGACTTTATAGCGTTGTGATTTCTTAATGCAAGCAAGCACGTTCACTGAGAAAACCATCCACATCCTCGCTGCGACATTTCAAGTTTAGTGTTTAAAAATAATCCGTGCAATAAGCTAACTAACACCGGGGTGGGGGGGGGGAGGGTTAGGGTTAGGAGGAGTGCAAGCCTTTTAACCATTTCACCGGTCTAGTTGCATTTACACCTATTCCTAGCCATTAAAACAAAAGGTTAATTGAATATTTTGTCTACCAATTTACCAATTTTTCTCTCCTTAAGTGCGGTCACTGCTCATTAGCCAGAGTTTCTTTTGTGTGTGACCCACGGTGATATTATTAACGGCCGTGCAATGCTTACACTCTTGACACCAATCAAGGTTCCTGTGCTCAGTGCACACGTACAGCGGTCTCTTGAACAGAACATTGGTTCTGGTCATTTGTGGACTCGAATCACTGGGGATTTGCTGCTTTGATCCATTGGAAAGCACTCGCTTCCTGTAATGATCAGTTATTTAGTTCACAAACTAAGTCAATATTATACCCAGCGCTCTTGTGTAAAATGTAATGGGCCAAGCCAGTGTTGAACCTGTTTCAGTTTACAATCTCCAACTGTGCGGCTTATTTGCTGCCAAGTTGATAGCGCTTGCAGTTACATCAGAGGTCAGGTTGAAGCCAACCAAGTGCGGGAAGCAAATTACATACAAAAAAATGGAAGTGTTATCTGATGAGGATCCGACGTAAGTGAAATGGATTCATTACCTTTTTTTTNGCTAAAGGGCAAAGTTAGAACACTGATCGTTCATTCAAGCCAACCAAAATGTTGTTGTCTTTTTTTTTCGGGGGCCTTTACAAAGGTGAATGTTAATTGAAACTTGTAAAGAATTATCCTCCTCTGAATTATTTCCTGTGCTCTTCGACGGATTAGACGAGGCAAACATTGAGTGTGGCTTAGTGCATTTCTTTGTTTCCACTCCAGCATCAGTCTATAAAAGCAAAGCAGCCAGCGACATCTCCTCACTCTACTCTCTTGCCGTTTGGGATCGTCTTAGCTATTGGCATGTTGGGCTTTTAATGAGTGCCCTGCTCAAAAAAAGTTCTTTATTGGCAAGTGCATACAGTGATGCCAATCCAGTGCCCTGGGATTTTGAAAGTGTACAGAAAATCTTCCTTTAATTCTCCCAACAAGAAAAATAAACCTGAATAAATCCGTGCACTTCCTTCCACTATGATTTCCTAACCTTCGCTAGTCAGTGTCAGAGGATTTTCATGTTGCACCTCATGATGTATATTTCAAATCATTTTAAATTGTGCAATTTTCATTATTACTCATTCACTGCACGGATGTTTGTTGGGCCTCGCTGTGCGCAAATGTGTTTGCCTACAATGACGCAGTCACTGC